GGCCGCCGTGACGTAACGTGCAGACCAGCAATTAACAAAGACGAGGAAAATGGCAACCAAAGCAGTATTAAATAAGAGATGAATTTTTTTTTTTGGCTGCCTTTAAGTAGTACGTTGAGATCAAAGTTGTCATAGCAACGAAATCACACCATTAGCTGTATATTATAACTATATACTTAACAATTATTCCTCGAGCCCGAATGGGCTCTGAGTCAATAGCCCATGAGGCCGAAGGCCGAATGGGCTATTGACTGAGAGCCCATTCGGGCTCGAGGAATAATTGTTTTAGTAAAATTCAACTAGTTGGTCAAAAATATGTAGACAAAACAACTTTAGCTAGCAAAACACCATTCAGCCGCCATAATGTTTTGGTTTTCAAAGCCGGCGCTTTTCACTACCAGTGGGCTATAACATAGCCTAGTAGTAGTTTAACCAATAAGAACACAGCATTGATAATAGACCACTAGTTTGATTTTACTTATAATTAATAGTCCCACTACTCAATGCACCTTTCCTCCTATCTTAGCCCTTACTCCACCTCTTCCCTTCCCAGTCCCCTTCCTCAATCACATCTCAATGTCGGACACACGCCAATTCGAAATTACACATAACTAGTAGTTATGTTAGGCTACAGTACACAAATGAATTTGATAACGATTCCGATTCTCTCCACCCAGTCACTTCGATGTTTCAGAACTTGTTATTATACAAATTACTAGTCACTATAAGTAGATAGTGTATAACGCAATGTTATCATTTCCTGCTTGAACAGATGTTATTCAAAATTATCATTATTACTAACTTCTTTTTAGCCAATTGTGATTAGTTACAAAATGGCACATCTGAATTACTAACAACATAGTTACATGGAACTTTTAGCTTGCTTGAGTGCATTACCTGATTTAGACTTACGCGAATACGCTGAAAATATTCCTCAAACCAACGGAACGTGAGCCACAACAAGCTTAGTTTTCATGTTTTTAACTAAATGTTCCATTTATCTGGCAGGACGCTTGCCATATTTGGTAGTATACTCTGCATGTTGCTGTTTTGTAAATGCAATTTTCACGCGGGAATCTTCAAGAACAATAACAAACCCCAATTATATGAATTATTTAAGTTAAAGAGTCCTATATGACAAGCGTTTCAAGTTTTAGATTAAAAAAATTGTCCGCTAGCAAACAACTACATATGGCTTTTCGTTCATGCATCGAACGGAAAATTAAATACAAATCACGGTTTCTTGTGCTTCCTTCTTAAGGCAACCGGTAGTTTTTGTCAATAAGAGGATATGAAATTAAAATTCTTAAATAAACCTGTGTGTGAAATTCAAACAGTGGCGTTTTACGTCAAACAATTATATTTATTTCGTCTAGCAATTATCCAGGTTATCGAATGGAGCATTCCAACACATTAGTTGAAGCTGCTTCTCTTCCTTCTTTTTTTCTTTTCGCCCACTTTCTTAGTTTGATAACTACGTATATAAGAAACTGATTTCTCCCTTGACTCAAGGGAGACATTAATTTGTTAAAAGCAGCGAAACCGAGACTGCCACGTATATAAACTTAACTTTTGAAATTTTGTTTCCTTAACCAATTAACAATTAGTTTTAATTTCAATTGCTTTGTCGGCCTTGATTTTAATAACATTGACTCTAAGACCACTTCAAGAATCTTCCACAAAAGTCTTTGGCTCCTAATTTATGCTAATCGCACCAACCACCAAAAAAGTCCCGGCCGCTGTCCAACTTATATTATTAACGGCCCTGAATACGTAAAGTTTGAGAACATAAAGATAGCTGACTTTGTAGAAATTGCTGCAAGATAGAAATGATAGGGTGACGATTTAAGAGAGTAAGTTGAGTTTTCTTTGATAATACCCGTGGTGTAAACACATATAACTCTTACCGCGTTTGAACACTGGTGCATTGGTGAAAGTTATGCGTCATGGTAAGCGACCTGTTTACCTTCTTTTCTCTGCATACGAAGGCACGTATTACCGCTAAAGGAATATCATTGATAATGGGAATATTTTCGTAAGGGAAAGTCGTTTATGACGCAAATTTTTATAGGTAAGTTAAATATTTTAACAGCAAGTAAGGCCTATTTACAAATGCAATGGCTAAATGATTTTACACTCTCTGATTTAAGGAAACATGTTGTATATGTTTCATTTTTTGTCAGTTTATTAACAAGTTAACTGGAGCTGATGTTTACGTCTTTTTTACTGAAACAGAAGTAGAGTGACAGACTACGTATCGAAAATTCACTTTACAACGATTAATATTTTAGAAGAATTCAAAAGGCTATTAAAAGGAAACCACTCACGCAGTGCTTTAGTAAAACTTTGAAGAGCAGTTTCACAAATTAAGGCATTCTGACTTTTTTCTACCATTAAAAAATATGAACTTCTACACACAATATAACCATTCTAGAATATCATTTATTTCACACAAATAAGTTAACAAGAAAAAAAAATGCAAGTTTAATTTTACTTAAACAGCAACCTTCTCAAGCAAGAACTAATAAGTCGAATGTTTGAAGACGCCATTATGAAAAAGTTATGCAGTTTGTTGTTATTAAAATCGATATGAATAATTCACTAACTTGGCGCGTCACATCTAGCTAATTAAAGTTGTTGAACAGTTAGAAAGAAGAACCTTCTTTATTGACAAACAGACACCATTCCTCTTGCAGTCCATTATTGTGTTCCACTGCCAGATAATTCGGGGATACTGCCGAAATTGTAATAGACCTTACCAGGGATCCCCATGACACCTGCTAGTAGAATTTTTTTTGCTAAATGATGTACACAGTAATGACCTTGCTTGCTTCCTCTCAGTTACATAACCAAAAACAAAGATGTTGGTAAGTTAGAGACGATCGTAGATACAACTGTATACACAAAACATCGAAAACTACAAGAAAAGTTAAAACGTTCTTAAAATGTGTCTGCTTTCTACGGAACAGTCTTTCACACAAATCTTATTCACCATAACCTCAGCCACCTCTGCCGCTATTCAGAAAACAAGACATAAATTCTGATCGTGGATATTCAGTTGTTTATCCCAAGGAATCAAATCAATCTTGTTGTGACTAATAATATAAATGTCACACAAAGTTAACCTTACAAATATTTGCAATTGGTAATTTGAGATCCACATACCTTTGAAAGGAAGTATTTTTATCTAATTTACTTAGTCCAATGGAAAGGTTTTACTTTAAGCACGTTTCTACGATTTAAAGACTTTAAAAGATTCTCGATTAACTTGACTTAACTTAACTCTGAATTAAAACAGCGAAAAAACCTTCGACTGAAAACAATTCTGCTGTAAATTCCAAATAGTGATTGCGAACCAAAATTTTACTGATTTTTTTAAACAATTCAACCTTGATGTACTTCTATGCACATTTGTCACAAGAAAAATAAACTTTATCTTTGAACGTGTCGCCATGACTTTAATTTTTAAAAGTCTTTTTGTAACTGATGTTGAGCAATCGTCTGAGACGAGCTTGTAAAAACACCTGCAATTGGTTGTCTGGTAATGCGTCTCGTAGGAACTCGACAGAGAGTTAACTGTGCTGTTTTGGAAATGACTTAACCAGGTCGCGAATCATAGAGAGGGAGACCTAGAAACCCAAACTCAGTTCACAATATAAAGTCAAAACTATATAATATTGTGTGAAGAGAATTGCAGTCAGCGCCATTAGATATTGTGTATACTGGGCATATCTGTCAATTTGACGTCAATGAAAATTTACGTTAGATTTTATAAAGAGTTGACTGGGATTTATCAAATATTTAAATACCGACTACTCAAAGCACTCTATTTAGTTATTTTTTGGTTAAAAGAACGCAACTTTGTCCACTAACATTTCAAAGTAGGTTGCATTCTATTGACTAGAGGTATTCTTCTTAACTGACTGCTAAACATTTAGTTAATTATATAAAAGATAATAAAAGATTTTTAAATTTTTGAATTAAAAAAAGGCTTCTTTAAACAAAAATTTCGTAATAAATTTGTGTAACTGCGTTCTGACTTAAATTATCTCAAGGGAAATGTAATTAACGTATTAATAGCTCGTAAGGCATCAAGTCTTTTTTCTCTTTTTGCATTAAAAAAGAATAAACCTACATGAAGATGAGCTGGCTACCTTTTTAACTTAAGCATTAAGAACAAATGCCGGAAACTGAAACAGGACATAGTATTTGGTAACATAATGAATTAAACTTTATAGTGGTTTATTTTGGGGGGTTACCGCACCTGTTGGAAATTGAATCTTTTTGGCGCCAAATTAAAGAAACAATGGTGGTGGTGGTTATAATGCAATGAATTTTTCGGAAAAGGCTTTGTGTTAGAGAGAAAAAACGTGTTATCAGCAAGCTCTGAAAAGGCTAAAACTATCTAACATCCCACAGAGATTAAGTACATAGGAAGCCAGAAAGAGATTACAATTAAACGCATTTTTATTGAATGTATGAAAATGTGGGAAGGATTGATTTGCATAACCGTACACATTACATAGATTCTACATTGGCTTTCCACCAATCTTTAAAACGTTTTAAGGTAATACGTTCAAATTGATTGTCAATCTAATTCTGGCTCAAACCTTGTTAAAAATTCGTCACTGACAGTTATGTATGCATTTTAAAAATATTCTCGCCAAATTTCGCCGACGCATTGTAAAATCAAAAAATAATGAGCACCTGAAACGCAGCCCACAAGAGTTGCACATCGATTTTTAGCGTGTTTATTATAAACTTTTCGGTGAACTACACCATTTTCCATGCCCTTTGAGCAATACAAACAAATTAATGAAATCTATTTTTCCGTTTTACAGGTCTGATATGCAGTTCTAATCTATTTTATCATTTGGTAAACTGGAAATTTGGTGAAATGAACCTCTCCTTCACTACTTGACTTTACTATCCAAGACAAGTAAACAACTCAACTATGTTTCTTTTAACAGACTGCTGAAGACAGGACTTCACCTGCCACCATGAGGGCTTGCTCGGCGACATTAGTCCTTACGTTGCTTCTGCTTATTGTTAGAAGATCTGACGAAGCTGAAGAAAAAGAGTAAGATTTATTTCTTATAGGTAGTCAGGCTCTATATAAAAATATTATTAAGATAATTTTGGCTTATACTTTGCCTTTCAGGGTCAAGAGCGAGTACTGGTAAAATGTCCCTTGAAACCAAATTTCAATCCAGTCTTCTCTAGCAGTACTTTCATGGATTATTTTGCTAAGATTACTGAAGGAAATTTAATTATTCGCTGATTTTCTATCTGTTCTATTTTTTCTGTCGTGTGCTACAGTCCGTGTCGAATGTTTCAAATGAATTTTGAAGAACAGCAAAATGGGGCTATGATTATACGACGACTATTCGGCATGCTGTTTGTGTTCAAAACAGTGGTGATAGAGGAAATTAATATGGGTATATTCATAGCATAAAAAATCTAGAGGAAAGAGTTATTTCTGTCGCGCCTTGTCATTCTCTGTTTTCGCAAAAGAAAAAATAATCTGCTCAGGTCTTTTAATTGACGAAAAGAAAGCATAATGTAATTATTGATTTTGAAGTAAAATGACGCCAGTTCGTTTTTAAATAATCCGATGAAATGATCTCTTTCATGCTGTTAAGTAGATGGCATTGTTAGCAGAATAGAGTTGTTTTCAACGAAAAAAGACAGAATATCTTATGTGACTTAAGACTTCAAAACGTTTTGGCCGAAAAGAGAAAAAATGCCAAATTTATCAAAGAAAATTGTGACAATATTGATCTTGCTCTATGATCTGAATATAAGGTCAAAAAAGGTAAGCGGAGAGTGCCAACTTTAAGCCGTTTTACTATGCGGATCAGTCTTTGATTAAATATGTTTTTACTTCTTTCAAATAACTACGAAAATTGAAAAGGATAAACATTTTGTGGAAGGTTGACCGCGTTATGGCCATCAGACGGGAGGTCAGAGAAATATGATATCACAAAGTAATTTATTATACTTTAAAAAATTGCAGTTCATTTATTTGATTGGTTCCTTATGTGGGCAAAATATAATATTATCTACTAGTATTTTCTTCCTAAACATCTACCTATCTTCGCCAATTGAGAAAATACGAGAAAAAATGAAAACTGACCTCAATGCACTTTTCTTGGAAGCCTTTTGTACTAATTTGACTTTCTATCTGCGCCGTATTATAATCAGATAGTCTCTCTCTTCATTATAGAGCACTGAAAGACTATGCTAAATCCATGGAGCGGGCCTTAAAACTTTCACAGAAAATAAATGAAGCTTTAGCAGTACATGACAAGAAGGTGCGACCAAACGCAGGAGGTAAGAACAGCTTGTAATTAGTATAGAGTTCACTGTCCTTTCAACTAGATAACGATGAAAATATCTGCGCGTCACAACCGTTCATCAACTCCGTTAAGCTACTCTTGAGGTAGAATTTTATGTTCTACGATTTATTTTTCGATTCTCGTTGTCACAGCTTCGATATTCTATAGATGAAGGAGGAGAGAAATATACAGAAGGTGCTGATCCCAAAAGACATGGTATATTTGCTTGCGAATAGGATTTTTAGGGGAAAGCATAAACAAACGTTCAGTCTACAAGGGGATAAAATGAAAAAACGTACATTTCGTGTATATGATTTCTCTCACAGGTCCACCAGTTATGGTTGATGTAGAATTCAAAATTATCTCGATTGGAGAAATTAAAGAAGCTCAGATGGTAAGAGGCACTCATAGATTTGATTCAGTTTACACAATGTCGCGCGATACTTACCCCTCTTCTTCGTAAGTTCGAAGGCAACCTTTAAAACAGCTACTTTCTTAAATTGTCATAATTATCATCATCATAACTGTTATTATCATTTTTTTTATGGAAGACTTTATTGTAAAATTATCGTCTTTCATAAAGTGCAATTACGAGCCCAATAGCTTAACATTTATTCTATGTATAAAAGCAGAAAAAGAAAACAATAAGTTTACGAATAAAATCAAGAATAAAATAATAACAATCAATGATAACAATTTTTTTAACAACAAAACGGTCTTATCTAGGATTAATATACGCGGATTATTATTATTATTATCTATTATTATTGGCCCTTATAGTTGGATAACAAATATCATTAAATTGAATTGATTGCTGAGTGTGAGGTCAGCTTAATCTATTAATCGTGACCTTTTACCTATAAAGGAATACACAATGGATATATTCTTCCGTCAATGGTGGACTGACCCAAGAATGGCACATAATATGAGCACGCCTTTCAATATGGCAGGAGACGCAACTCAAATGATCTGGACACCAGATACGTTTTTCTGGAATGTAAAAGCAGCAAAATATCACAGGGTAACGAGAGAAAACATGAGAATAAAAATACATGGAGATGGCAAAGTCTACTTCAGTACAAGGTAAAGTGACCGGTGATGCACATACATGTAAAAAACTATTGCAAATGTTTATCATAATTATTACTATTTTGCAACCACAACACACCAAGTAACTAATAAAACAAGCATGTGCCTTTCCAGAGCTATTGGGCTGGTTTCTAGATAAGTGGGATTTTAGGCAATCGGAAACGGAGAAATATTTTTGATTGACTAATAATACTGATTCATACTTGGTTCCGAAGCTCAGGGATTAAAAAATAGAGAGATTTGTACCACGTGGTCAAGTATATCCTAAAGAAAATATCCGTTTAAAAGTCAAATTGAGTCACCCTCGAGTGGACACAAAAAGTCTCAAAAATGTTTTACAAGATTTTCATGGGAAAATGTTGTGTTGCTTTCCTCCTGTGTGGTTATTTTCCTGATCTAAACCTGCAAATGATTTCTTTATGAGTGAAGAATGAACAAGTTCCGCCGCCTATGCCTGAAAGCCAAGGATTGGCCCGGTTGAGGTCAAACAAACAAATAAACAAACTCGGGAACCCTGCCCGCCCATTAATTATTATTAATAAGAGTTACATGAGTGACAGCTCTTAAGGATGTCAGTTCCTAGAGGTTCTCAATGTCCACTTTTCTCACCTGGTTCTTAAAAGAAGCAAGTGTTGCAGAACTCTTAATAAGCATACTTAGTTTGGACCATATTACAGGACCAACATATCTAATACTGTGTTTCCCATAGATGGGGGTATTTATTCTTGCAATCAAAAAATCGTCTGAATTTGTCAGGTTATAACTCATTTCGGTTGTTTAGGGTGACTCGACTGGATTTTTCAGGGAGTATACTTCCCCTCTTTGAGCGTTTACCACGTCGGCATTAACGAAGATAAGTCAAAAAGGTTACCAAAGCCGCACTGTATAAAGATATAAGTTCGATATTTTTATATATTGGCCATCAATCTCTAGGTTGAATTTAGGTTTGACATATATTCCGTTCTTTTTAGGATTACTTTTACAGCGCAATGTGATATGAATCTTCGCATGTACCCAATGGACATTCAAGTTTGCCCTTTAACTATAGAGAGTTGTAAGTACAGTCTCTCTCTCCTTATAACCCTGGATTTATCATGTTTTCAGTCAGATTTGTCCTAAAGGATTTTTTTAAAGTAATAACTGTCTGAAGTGAAAGTTACTGAAGTCGTTTGGTGAGCCAATACTTTGCTTCCTGATCGTTTAAAGTACGTTGACCGGCTTTTAATTGTTTGTCTCAAATGACACTCCTGTTATTATTTACTAATTTTTTCTCACGTAACAATTGCAAGCTTGGGAATGAGAACCAATAGCGTCTTTTTAAAAAGTCGACAGTCAAATTGTAAACACGATGAAATCTAAAAACAGACCGCAAGTCGACTACGCNCAGGTTATAACTCATTTCGGTTGTTTAGGGTGACTCGACTGGATTTTTCAGGGAGTATACTTCCCCTCTTTGAGCGTTTACCACGTCGGCATTAACGAAGATAAGTCAAAAAGGTTACCAAAGCCGCACTGTATAAAGATATAAGTTCGATATTTTTATATATTGGCCATCAATCTCTAGGTTGAATTTAGGTTTGACATATATTCCGTTCTTTTTAGGATTACTTTTACAGCGCAATGTGATATGAATCTTCGCATGTACCCAATGGACATTCAAGTTTGCCCTTTAACTATAGAGAGTTGTAAGTACAGTCTCTCTCTCCTTATAACCCTGGATTTATCATGTTTTCAGTCAGATTTGTCCTAAAGGATTTTTTTAAAGTAATAACTGTCTGAAGTGAAAGTTACTGAAGTCGTTTGGTGAGCCAATACTTTGCTTCCTGATCGTTTAAAGTACGTTGACCGGCTTTTAATTGTTTGTCTCAAATGACACTCCTGTTATTATTTACTAATTTTTTCTCACGTAACAATTGCAAGCTTGGGAATGAGAACCAATAGCGTCTTTTTAAAAAGTCGACAGTCAAATTGTAAACACGATGAAATCTAAAAACAGACCGCAAGTCGACTACGCTGTGACACTAATACTTGGGATGGATCGACATTCCAACTTCAACTTCAACTTTATTTACACTTTTCAGATGAATTTATCTTACACATACAGAAAATATTAATAATTTTCTTACAGAAATGTACTATTCAAATATTATAAACGGAAAATCTAGAGAGGATGGCACAGGGGCCAAAGGGGCCGAGGCTTTCGAGTTGGCCACTGTCATGTTAGAAATACTAAATCAGAAAAAGCCAAGATTTATATTCGTTAAGATAAACAGGGAAACATTATTAGCACAATCTACAGTAAATATTATACTAAGGGCCTGTTTACATGGTGGTGGGAGACCCCAGGCAGGTAAGGTAACCGGCTTAGGTGGGGTAACCCAGCTGTCCATATAATCTCTCATTTTAATTTGATCTCGTTTACATGATAAGTGGGGTAACCCGCCACATGTTACCTCACCTATTCGGGGTCCCCCACCTCCATGTAAACAAGCCCTAACTGAAGCATAGCTTAACCTGGGCGCTCATTCACGCGCTAATTCATTCCGTGCGATGGGCTCCTCATTATTTTAGTGACAAAGAGTCTCTTCCACGTTTCAGATGCACATACCACAGAAGATGTTGATTACCGATGGAAAGGAGGCAAGTCACAGGGTGTTGAGATTGTCTCCAAGGAAATGGCTCAGTTTGAATTTGTGGGAGCCAAAACGTCGACTAAGGCAAACACCAACAGTAAAGGTAAGCAATTTTAATCAGTTAAGATAATAAAAATTTGTGACATATTCGTTTAATATGTCATTTGACGGTTCATTTTTAAAATTTGATTTTACGGACTTTAAAGTGATATTCTGTACATAGCTGTACATGCACAGACTAGAGTTTGTCTTTTTTGTCTGTAAATTAAGGGTCTTTTGCCAGTCTGCAAGCATTTTTCACCTTCAAGCGTCGTGTGTCGTACTTCATTACCGCCACCTATATGCCAGCAGTGGTGCTTGTAATCCTAAGTTGGTGTTGCTTTTGGATCCATCGTTCTGCTGTTCCGGCACGAGTAACTCTCTCCATAACAACTATTCTAACTACCATTTTGCTGTATGGCTCGGTCAACTCCAATATGCCCAAGGTAATTTTACTGAAATAACAAACAGGAACATTTAGGCAGATACTGCAATGAAAGATAAGCATTTCGAAAAAAATAACACAATCAGTTTGATAGAAACCAATATCGCAGGTCTGTACCCAAAGACAAAATTTCTTAGCCCTCAGTTCTTGCTTCCACTGTTATTTCAGGGTATTCGTCTCCTGGAAATCCGAAGTACACGACCATCACTTCCATCGAGGCTCATTTCCATAGCCATGTATTTTTCTAGCTATCTACACACACTTTAAACAATAGAAGAGTAACACGATCTGGTGGCGTCCTATACGCAGTGTTAGCTCCCCAAGTAAATTCGAAGAGTGTGCAAAGTAGTCAAAGTAGCCCTTTCTTCAAGACCTTTGTTTGTCTCTAATTAGACATTTTAAAATTGTGGCCTTTTATTATATAGCTTGAAATTTTACTCTTTTATGAGTTACTTCCCACCAAAAGTCGCTAAGAGGGGCAAAGTAAAGCATTGCAGATTTGCGTTAATAAAATTGTTCACATACTGAGAAATTTTCTTTCGTGGGATAACAGTTTATTTTTAAACCAACTGGGCCTCGAGAAACTTGCTAATTTTTTCGTCCGAGAATTTCTATGTTTTCTCGAGGGACCAGCCGTTACAGTTAACTTTATATTTAACGCACTGTGACAAGAAAAAATATTTTTAAGAGAACAGTAAAGTTTATTGTTTTTACAAAAGAATAATTTGACAAGCTTAGTAGGCACAAACAGAAGGTAAAATATGCCGTTTCAGAAGTATAACATGGTGTTTAAGGTTATAACTTTGAAGCGGTCACTGATTTTTCTAAAGTCAACATCACTTTAAATAACAATATCATGGCCGCCTACAACAATACTCCCAGCGTCCTTTGTGGAGTATAGGTTCTAATGATGTACAAAATTATGCAAGCACTACAGTTTCGTCTTGTTGCTTCTTTTCTTTAGCTCTGTGCTTATTATCTTGGCTTACTTGTGTGGCATAACGATGCTTGCATAAACGCTAAGATTATAAACTTCGTTAATAAACTTAATACGTCGTATTAGTGAAAACAAGCCTTAATACTAATGGCTTAAATTTGGCTTTTTGGTAGGTCAGTTACAGTAAAGCTATCGATTACTTCCTGATGACGTCGCTGGGTTTTATATTTATGGCACTATTGGAATACATCCTTGTGCTTAACACGGATCCACGTTTCTGTACACAAAGACGAAAAGAAGAAAGAGATGAAAAGATGAAGTCATTATACAAGGTAAGGTGTCGATTCTTTGAGCTCTTTTCAGGCAAAAGAGCGTAGGCTTCGCTACATAATTCCCAAAATATGGCCTAAAATTATTTCCAGAATTTCCGGAAAAAGCTCTAAAATTATTTTCGAAATGTCTTAAATTCTCCAAAAACTCTCTAAAATTCCCAAAAATTCACAAAAATGTCGGCTTTTTTGATAGCGAGGGCCCTTTTTGATGAATAACCGCTGCTAAGCTGTAGTGTAGACGACTCTGACGAAAAACACTGATTAGTTGTGCTCATTGGACAGTACGCTAGACACTGCTGTAGCATTTAAGCGGACTGCGCCCTTGGACGGTAAGAATACAACAAAAAACGTTTTGTTAACGTTTTTGCTTTGAAATTGCCAAAATGTGGGATGGACTGTTCAAATTGCTCTAAAATCCTTGAATTTGTCGATTTTTTCCCTGAAATTCCCGAGAATTTCTAAAATTCTTTTTGATGTCTAAAATTCCAAAACAAATTTCCGAAATTATGTTGCTAAGCCTAAAAGAGCGTTTCCACATGACGTCACGGCGGCCATTTTGGTGCTCTAAAATAATGACACGGCGGCCATGTTGGTGTCCAAATCAAATCCTGTGGAAGTTTAAAAACTCTTTTACGATGCAAAGCTTTCCTTTTTTCCTATAAATTTTGCATAGATGCCTGCCACGTTAGAGAACCGCTCTCAGTGTAAACACTTAAATAAAAACGAAGTTCCTCATTTAAGACCTTTTTGCAGCCACTAAAGCAGTCAACATAAATGTATTAAATTTTAGTTGTAAAAATGAGTAATAGATGTTTATTTGGTCCCAAAGACATAAAGCATAACGTAGTCTTGGTTTGATTAGCTTGCTTACTGATACCTTTTTTTTGTCAGTTTGTTTCAATCCCGTTAACCAATGATAGATATCTGACACAAACGCTATTTTGGCAACCAGTAATTTTTTTACTATTATTATTAAAAAAGTAGTTTAGGAAAATATTTAATTGATTCTATCATTTCTAGGAGATTCCTCCCGACACCCTTGTAGGCTTAATGGATGGAAAGAACAAACCAGATGAACTTCCCATGATGCCCTTAAACGGAGACAGCAAGATGATTGACAAGGAGCCGCCCAAGACGCCGGAAAATATTAAGAATCACTGGATCGACTGCGTATCCAGAGTTCTTTTTCCAGTGATTTACTTCTCATTTATAATTTTTTACTGGATATACTACATAAATCACCCTGATTCTGCGCTCAGTAACAAAGTACAGGAATAACGTTTACGCTTAACAAGACCTGGGTTGAGTTATGTCAAGAGAGGGTAACTTCAATGTAATTTTAAAAGTTTTGAATATGATAGATTAAGTGTAAAAACTTGGTTACATCTTTCAGATCTTGTGATCAACGAAAACGTTTCAGTTTCCAAACACTCTGGCGGTAAGTAAAACCACAGGGATTGTGAGCCGTGATCCAAATTCGTATGTCATGACAGATGAATTTGATCACCAGGTAAAGGCACAAGGTAACCGGAAAACACGTTTGGATTGCGCAATGGAAAAGAATGCTGACGAATACTTCTTTAATCAAATTACTGAATGCACTTTCTCATGCTCTGAAGCTAATATTTGACCTGGTTCGTGAGCATTTTTTCATGTGACCGGTAGGTTTGCGTTTGCAAATTTCATCTTTATTTTCACTTTAGAATTATTATTTTATGAGGTTCTTTTTTCACCTCCTTGGCTGCCACTGGTACTTCAATTTGGGCATGGAATCATGCTTTTTAAAATCTTAACTCTTAAAAGTTATGCCAGCTAACGTTTCAGAAAGCTGATCCACTTTAGGAGCCTTTCCATAGCATGCCGTTTAGTTATGGATGAACTCCTTAAACTTTAAGCTTCGTTTTTACCTTCTGATGTGACAAAACGTTTGATTACACAGCACGTATAACAAAAAATTCCGCAAGCATGAAGGAAAACAAACATTGTAAGGACGTAACAAAAAGAAGGAACGTAGTTTAAATTACTGCATTAAAATCTAATGATAACCTGACACTCAACAGCTTTAACTGCTAAC